CGTGTCAATACTATTTTTATTAAATAATAATTGATTATTTTGTAATAGTTTTACTAATTTTTTTAGTATACTAACTTACAAGCATTAGAAGAATTTTAAAATATTTATACGAGTTGAAATCATAAAACAAATTAAAATACTATTTACTATAACATAAAAAACAACACATATATTAATATATGAAGATAATTGATGGTTAAAAAAAATTGTGGTTAAACATAACTTAAAGGTGACAATAAGTTTGTGAAATATATATTAGTATATACCAAATAATTAATTTAATAATTTCTTAAGAGGTAACTAAAAGCTATCTAGTATAATTTGTACTCATTAAAACAGTAAAATAAAGAGAAATGTTTTGTTTTTCTTAGTTGTCAATAAAAATATATTTAGAAGTTATTACACACCTTATCTTACTAGACAAAAGCTTTATATTTACCAATCTAAGCTAATTTTGACAAAAAAATTATATTGAATTCATCGATCTTTGTGATTTGAAATTAATTTCAAATTTTGTTTTATATTTATTTTCTGTCATGGTTTTAAATTTATAAAAGCAAAAATTATGTTTATTAATTTATTTTTAATTTAGAATAAATCAAAAATTTGTATCGACTAAATTTATTAATTCTTTTGGTCCATATCAACAATCAAAATTAAGAAATTTTCCAAAAATAATATTATTGTTAATAATATATATATATAAGAATAAGAAAATTATATATATATATATAATTTCTATTAACAACAAAAACTAAAATAATATTAAAAACTAAAATATTTCTTAAACAAAATACCAATTACTTAGATATAAAATAATATGCAATCAATTAAGAACGGAAAGTAAAATTTAACATTTTTTCGGTTTTCTTATAAAACTGATATAAAAGAATGGAATTGAAGATGATGAAAACTTTTTATTTTCTTTCATTAGAGAAGAAACATATACTAATTTTTCGTGTCAATACTATTTTTATTAATTAGTCATTGATTATTTTTTATAGTTTTTAATTCTTTTTTTTTGTATACTAACATATACAAGCATTAAAATAATTTTAAAATATTTATACGAGTCGAAATTATAAAATAAATTAAAATAATATTTGGAAAGCAAGTTTGGCGTATTCTACAACAGCCACGAAGTCTTGTGTCTCGTCTTCTCCATGGGCGGTATTTTCCGGAAACATATATTCTTGAAGCAGGGAATGGTTACAAACCATCATTTATCTGGAAGTCTTTATTGGAGGGACGAGATCTGCTTAAGAAAGGGATGCGATACTTAATTGGAGACGGTAATGAGGTGAATGCTTTTACCGACTTGTGGATTCCGAGTCATCCACCCCGTGCAGCAAGACCATTGCAAGGAATTGCTCCTGATAACTACCGTGTTAAAAGCCTAATTAATGAAGAAAATCACACCTGGAATCAAGATTTACTGGCGGCTATGGTGAATCCGGAGGATATACAACATATTCTCAATATTAGACTAAGTCCAATACCATCTAGGGATTTGCTTGGCTGGCACTACACAAAGTCTGGTATCTACACAGTGAAATCTGGATATTGGCTAGCAAAGCATCTCCCAGAACAACAAGAGAATAATGTCGATCCACCTCCAGGATTATTAGCTTTTAAAGAAGCCATTTGGAAGTTGAAAACAGCACCAAAACTCAAGCATTTTCTATGGCGATTATTGTCTAAAGCCATGCCTGTTGGAACTATTCTCAAACACAGAGGTATATCCCGTAACTCACAATGTCATAGATGTTGTGGAGATGAGGAATCTTTAGAACATTTATTTTTCTCATGCCCTCATGCGCAATCAATCTGGAGAGGAGTACGGATTCCACATGGAATCTTTATTAATCCAGGAGCTAACTTTGAAGCCAAATTTCAAGGATTACTGGATTGTCATAATAATCCCAACCTTTCCTTGTTCCATAAACAACTTCCATTATGGACTCTATGGAGAATCTGGAAAAGCAGGAATTTGTTAGTTTATCAAAAACAGAGGAGCAATTGGAGGAAAGATGTATCTGCTGCGAGACAGGATGCACAAGAATGGGTCTCAGTGTGCCAGGTAGAAGGAAATAAAAGTAATATCAGACAACAACAGGGATTACGATCAAGGTGGCAACGACCAAAGGAAAGTTATATAAAATGCAATTATGACGGGGGCTTCTCTCCGCACACCAATCGATCAAAGATGGCATGGATATTACGTGATTCAAAAGGCACATATATGGGAGCAGGTCAGAGCATGGGAACAACGTGTCATTCAGCTTTGGAGGCTGAGTTACATGCTCTTTTGGTGGCTTTACAGCAAACATGGATCAAAGGACATCGTCATGTTATATTTGAAGGAGATAACAAAATGGTGAGCCAGTTAATTAATGGAGAAGAAATGAATTTTTCTCTGCATAATTGGGTTCGTGAGATCAGATTCTGGAAGGATAGATTTGTGGACGCAAAGCTGGTTTGGACTCCACGAGCAAACAATCAAGTTGCAGATAAATTAGTCAAGGAAATAGATTTAAGTATTCCATCTGTATTTTATTTTTATGTTCCTTACTTTCTTGTATCGATCCTCCATGAGGACAACACATTTTCAGTTTAATGCAAGTTTGTGATGTTAAAAAAAAAAATTAAAATAATATTTACTACAACATAAAAACAACACATATATTAGTATATATGTAGAGATAGTAAGTGGTTTAAACATAATTTAAATGTGACAGTAAATTTGTGAAATCTATTTTAATATATACCAAAAATTAATTTAATTATCAAGTATAATTTGTACTTGTTAAAACAGTAAACTTTAGAGAATTTTTTTGTCTTTCTTGGTTGTCAATAAAAATCCAAATTATCACACACAATATGTTATTCAACAAAATATTTTTATTTACCAATTTAAGATAAGATTGACAAAATTTATATGGAATTCATCCATCTTTGTGATTTAAAGTAGTTTCAAATTTTATTTTATATTTATTTACTTTTTAAAATATATGAAAGCAAAAATTATGTTTATAAGTTTATTTTTAATTTAGAATAAATCAAAAAATTGTATCGACTAAACTAGCTAAGGAAAGAGATAATTTTTAACTTTATCATTTTTTTCATAAAAACATACATAACAAGGATGCAGCTGATGAAAAAAAAACTTATTTTCTTGACTATTATGTGATGTATACTTTATCTTCGTGTTAATACTAATTAAGTACTATTTAATTAGTTTGTTATATTTTCTGTTGGTTTTGGTATACAAAATGTTAAGTGTTTGATAAAATAATATATTTTAAAAATGACACATATATAAATTCAAACAAGATCGTTAAAACCTCAAATCTATATATAAATTTTGAGATTAAAACTGAATTATTTTTGATAAATTTTATTACAAAAATTAAGATCTAAATAAATATAACTGCTTAAATATGATTTTTATTAATATGATATCATTTAAAAACTACCCACGCGTTGTGTAGTGTGGGTGCAAAATCTATTTAAATGTTAAAAACTTCACACTTACTTTGGAGATGCTCAACTAATTTACGTCAAATTAGTTTTTAAGCTTATCTAATTTTTTAATCTATTTTTAATTTGTTTAATTTTAACTTATTATCGATCAAAAATATTTTAATCTTCACCAACTATTGTTTGTTTCCAAAATATAGGAAAGTTGTTAAATAGTTTATATTTTTTGTTTTTAAATATGGATTTCGTTTTTCACATTTCGAAATTACAAATTCAACTTTAATCGTAAACACTAAATTATGGAATCAGAATTTATATTAAAAAAAAAAATTGATCCCATGAAGATGCATAGGTTCAATCTTGTCCAAAATTATAATAAGTGTTAGAATCGATAGTTGATTATTTAACATTATCATCAATATTAAGTTTAGTAACCATAATGTTTTCTAAACTGGAGAAAATTAATGATCTTGTTGAAAAAAAAAATATAAAAGAAAGTGTAGAAGATTATGACTTAAACAAGAAAAATTATTATTATAAAATTTTTAGTCAAAATTATCAAATTAATAAGTCTATAAATTAATAAAATATCAAAGTTCTGTCATTGTAAATTTATAGATGAGTTTCTAGTTTATGTATTTCACACTATCAAAAAGAACAAAAAAATCTGATATGCTTGGTTGAAAATTATAAAGAAGAATCATATTGTTTCTATTCTACGTACCACACAAAAAAGAAAATCAGATGTGTTATTTAGATAATGTTTTTTATTTAGGTCCATTTTTCCCCTCTAGATCTGATTCTGTTTGCTTAAAAGTAAAACCTATCAAATAATAATAAAATAACTGAATCAGGATTTTCTATTTAGGATTGATAACTAAAACCAGTTTTATAGAAAATAAATGAGAAAACTGTTTTAATATCTGTTTAACTTTATCTAATCTCACAGGTCTGTTTTAAATCTTCTGTTTCAAGATCTTCAACAGATAACATCGAAGAAGCTGAAATTTGCTAAAAACTATATTTTTTCAGATCCAATGGAAATAAAATCTCTAATATGATAATGCCCACTATAAAACCAATGATGTAATTTTTTGGTTTCTGAATGTCAGTTAAATATGACTCATTTTCTGCTTTAATGGTTACAAAGAAGTTACAAAATTTTGTACATAAATCAAAGGAATCATTATATTAATGTTTATGGAGAATCGAACATTTCGGTAGTTATAAATTTATGAGTTTGATTTTATCAGTTTCCAATATTTGATTGATAAGGTTTAAGTTTTTGGCAGTGGGCTATTTGGGCTAGGCCCAAATTAATGGATGCTAATACGATAAGTACGATCAATCCTTGTGTAACAAGAATTCAAATTGAGCAAATAAAAACAACAAACTAATCGTCATTGGTATTCAAGACGATACAACCACTACAAATTATTTCTCCAAATTCAATAGAATTATAAATGAAGAAGTTTCGACTAAACTATTTTAAAAAAAACACCAAATAAAAGGACACAAAACTAAGATAAGATGGAAGCAAAAGAAGAAACTATCACGGCGGCTAGGAATAGTTTCGATACTATCAAGTTGCCGGTACTAGACTTCGACGGTGATGGAGCCGTTATAGCTGATGACGGAGCCGCAATCGCCGGCGATGAAGCAATTATGGCCGATGATGAATGGGTAACCAATGGTATTGAAGGTGGAACAGTCGGTGGTGGAGTGGTAATTGCCGGTGATGAAGTGGAAGATGATGAAGTCATAGGTGGCTTTGCCGGCGAAGAAACTACATATAATATATAGTACATATAAAACAACAATAATATAGAATAAATAATATATTAAAACAACAGTAAAAACAGAAAAATACAAAATACATATAAAACATTTATATTAAAATATAAAATACATGTGAGAGTGAGAAAGCTTTCAAGATCCATTTTCTGATTAATTAATAATATTAAATGCCGATTTGCATTAAATAGAAAGCAAACTTTTATTTATATGACGAACTAAAAACTTACTCGTAGACGCAGCTGGTGTTGATGCAGTCGGACTTGATGCAACATCTACATTATAAAAATATTATTCGAAATCATTTACATTATAATTCACATTATAATTCACATTACGAAAAGAATAAATAAATTATGAGACGAAAGGAAAAAAGGAATAATACCACAATGAGGATTAATGTGGATGTTACAAATAGATGGCATGGCAAGCGCTCTACTGTTAATTAACTCAATTCCCATTTCACGACTGCTCTCCAACCCAACACAAAGACAATTAGGGTTATAGTCAAGAACAGTTTCGACCCCGTCACAACATGGTTTGGTGGGGCTAAGAGCCGTTGATCCGACGGACAAGAACGAGAGACAATCCAACATGCTGTAAATTACGGTGGAACAGTCTGTGTTTGATGGTGCCGTTGTTGGAGATGAAACCGGTGGCTGTGACGGTGATACAAACTCGTATGCATGGCATAAAGATACTAAAACCAATGCAATACATAGAATGCACGATGTCTTCATCTTGTTTGTTTGTTTTAAGTAGTGATTTTCTTCTTCTCTCTATTAGGTTCTCTGGGGGCTTAGAGGCTTGTAGTGAGATATATAGGCTGAACTAGTTGTGCTTTCATAGGATCGAATATTATTTATTTTTTCGTTCAGTTTTATTATTTAGCAATTAAATTTAGATTTGTTACTGATTTGCATATATCTATTAGACAGTTATATTAGATTTTTCAAAATATATTTTATCATTTTTTTTCGTTTCAAATTTGTGTAATTATTTTTTCTTTATTTCTCAAAACCGTTGGTGTCCTTCTATATTTAAAAATGAATTCATAAATATAATGAATAATTAAATAACAGATTAAGATAAAAACAATAATGTAAATATATTTTAACAAATTTCGTGGCAAAAGGCAATGAGAAATAAAAATATTTTAATGTTAAGTTATATATATCAGAGCTGCATTGCGGTGACTTTCTCTCAGAACCGGTTCTGAAAATTTTCAAGTTGGAAACAGAAAAAATGTTAACCCCTTAAAAATATAAAAAAAACATTGTTAGTGATTTGAACTCACCACCTATAAAAAAAAGCTGGACTAACATATTTTTTTGAGAAACTTGGCTAACATAATTTGTTTTTAACTTTGCATTCAATCGAGCAAAATCACACTACCTTAAGTATGAAAGCAGAGTTGTGTTTATATTGTAGACCTAAAAAGTATTACTGCATACTGTATTGTTTCTTTTATGCTTAAATCTTATAAATATATAACTTGGAAGAAAGTGAGGATTTAGGACCTTTTTGGTTTTCATATATATATATATATATATATATAATGAACCATTTTTGAATATATTTAAATGAAGCAAAAGTGTTCAACATTGTTTTACAAAAAAACCAACTTTAGTGATAAGTAAGAACCCAAACCCATATATAAAGAACTCAATGAACCCATAGGAATATATAATAGGAAAAAACCCATATAGATGCAACCCAGAACAAGAAGGAACTAAAACTTTCCTAGTTCTCTTTGAAGGAAACCCTAGTCGTTTGGATTGAACCAGATCTTCATCTTAGAGAAAACCATAGTTGCATGACTTCGCTTGCCACAATAAGATTCTGATCTCGGAATGCTGAAACGTGATTCTTGATGATGCCTTCTATCAGTCTGATGATTTCCTCGTCAGTCCTACACCATTGTTGATGGAGGTGATAGTTCCTCTCCATAATTCATAGATCGTCGCTTGCCATGCTAAGAAGGAGATATATCTGCGATGCTTATTTCCACGGAGTGCAAGGAGTTTATTTGTAACCTCAGTCCATGAATAGCTAGAGCCTCTCAGAGAAAGCTTATTGGAGAATCACGCCCAGATAGATGCAGAGAATGGAACAAAAAAGAGGTAATCTTGAGATTCCGGGTTGTTGTTGCAGAGCATGCATCAATTGTCTGTTTGGATGCCCTGATAGTAGGTTTTTTAGCCTACTAAGGTCAATTAACCTCTTGTGTTGTAGCACTTGAGGGTCAATCTAAATGGAGATTATCTAGACACTAAGACTATGAGGATCAATTCTTAATCCAAGTCTAATGAAACAGGTTGGTGATTAAGTGATCTAAAACTTAAAATAAAACAAACAAGAACAAGCAGTAATTAAGAATTAAACAAGCAAACAAGACAAACAAAACAAAGACTCAAATTCAAAATAAGAGAAAGCTAAACCTCTAGATGTGATCATTGATCAGGGTGCTTTAAATGTGAATTCAGGATGCTAAGCAAACAATGCAACACTTGCAATTCTTTAGTCTAGACTTCCAAATCAGATTAATTCATTCTCATGACAAAAATCCCTTTGTTAATTACCAAATCAAGACTAATTTCCATTAGATGAATAAGCAATCAACAAGCATAAGGTTCCAAGTCTAAAATGACCAGACAGCCTCTTTGTGCATCAAAATAAGAGCTAAGAAAGACTGAATCATACACAGAAAGACATAGCAAGCAATCACATGATCTCTAATCCAATCAACTTAGAGTTTAAAGCTAGACTAATCCTCTCATGAAGGTATTAATCTCTATACTAATCCATTTTCAAAACAAATTCTCATTTGTGAAATATGAACTAGTAAGCATTAAGAATCAACTCTAATATGTCATTTATGCAATTAACAAACATCATCATGGCATTAATGCATAAACCCTTAGTTAGCTTTCATTCAGGCATTTCATCAAACACTTTTGGTGCATGAAAGACCCAGATTCTAGACCCAAGTGATGTGCAAGGATCTAGCATTGGGATCAGCTAACTAAGGAAAGGAGAAGAGAATCTAAGCTTAAACAATCATTAATCTACATCTAAGCACCCTAATCTACACACCTAGAAGCTTAAAAGAAGACTACTCACTAATCATACTTAACACATCTAATCTTTTGCAAGAGATGGTGTTAAACATGATTAGAAGCAAGGATAAAAAGATGAGATGATAAGAAACAGCTTTAAGATGATTAAATCCCTCAGATATCTCTTGATCAAACTCGTTTTTACACTCCAAAGGAAAGAAAACTAAGAGAGAATGAAAGATAAAAGGTAAGATGTCTAGGGTTTTTCTCCCAAAAACTATTTATACTAAGGGTCTTGGACCGGGTCAGCCCAAACTGGGTACTGAACCGGCTTCAAATGGGCAATGTGCTAAGTGTGCAACTTGGTCAAGTGTTTCCCATCTCGCAGGCCCAAGTCGCACAGCCATGAAACTAGTCTTGTGCGCCTAAAATCCTTCAGCCTCAGCCGCATGCCTATCAAGGTGTAAACATCGAGTGTTTGTGCTTTTCAAGCTTCCTTCTCTTCAAATCGCACAACCAAGACGAATTCTGGAGAGAATATGTGTGTGAGTTGGTAATCTTTAGTCCCAAGTCGCAGGCCCAAGGCGGTGTAAACCGTGAGTCTTTCTGCGGTTTAGTTCTTTGCTCGGCCAACTCGCATAATCCAAATCTCTTCGGACCACTTCGCATTCGGGGGAGCGTAACTTCCAGGATATGGATCCAAATGGCTTGATTCTAACTTCAGTGGAAAGAGCACTCAAATATCGCAAACTTTGGTGAAGAAACCTTCAGCCAAGGAAGGTTCCCTGGACGGCTCATCTCTGCAGCTCATTGAAACGATAAAAAGAAGCTCTTGGACCAGTGTTCACTCCGGAGACAGTATATTTCAGCACATAGCTTCAAACTGGATGATCTCAGATGTTATGGAAAGAGAACGCAAAGAATTTGAATCTTGATGAAGGTCCCGGCAACTGAATTAGACTGGAAAGGCATTGTCCCACGCAATCTTTGTGACTCATCGAATTGGTCTCGAAACTGTAGCAAGACAGGTGTATCTTCCAAGCTTAACTCTCAGCTCACAACTCCAAATCCAATGATTCCACCTGTTCTGGATCCGTGCCTGATTATCTCAAACTTTTCTTAAGACCCTGTAAGCTGAATCGGACGTTAAGACTCCACGGACAGGCAATCTTTTAGACGTATCGGATTGCTACGGAATGGATGCGAGACAGGTCTGTCTTCCGGTGGCCGTATCTTTCAGCTTGCTGCTCCAAATACCTTGATTCCAACTGTTCTGGAATCTAGACGCAATTATCTTGATCTTTGTTGAAGACCTCGGAAGCTAAATCGGCCTGAAAGATCTTCCGGTAACGGGATTTCTGAGATGTATCTGCACCGAGAGTTTTGGCCGAGAAGCTTAAGCGACCAGTACGTGTTTCGGCCGAGAATCCTACCCGCGGTATGGATTTTAGCTGAGAATCTCCAACCAGCAGTACAGCCTTTTTGCCGAGAAGCTCCATAATGCCCCTTTTCACCATTTTTGATCATTTCAACTCCATTTCTTCATCTGGTTCACATTCTCCACTCCAAATAGGCCCCATAAGCACCTGTTTAACACTCCAAACCATGTAAAACTCTCTTGGACCTAATGCAATCTCCTAAGTCCTAAAACAATGTATAAAGACCTAAAATGTATGCTGATAACACCGTATTTTGACCACTTTTATGGATCGTTTTGAAATATTTTTTCTATGTTTTTAATTGCTTTTAAGTACTTTTATTACGTTTTTCTAGTATTTGTAGTTCCAAGACTCTTTTCAGGTAACTTAGAGAAAAGCTTAACAAAATGGATAGAAAACCAGATTTCAGCCCAAAGTCAAACCGTCAGAAGTTCACCCCTGATTGAAGGCCTTCTCACCGTCTGATCCAGCTCAAATTTGGAGATCTTAAAGATGGAAGTATCAGCTTTCCAGCACACTTTACAGCTTGGCAATCCAACGGTTCAATCAAAAGATACGCGAAGAGCAAGATGTCCCGTAAACCAGCCGGCAAGTGTTTCCACCCGCGGCCAACAGAGCATTTCCCGCGGTCACAACCGCCGCGACCGCGGCCAGCAACCCATTCCCCGCGGTCGCACTCATCCTGACCGCGGCCAGCTAACTCCGAGCCCGAAGGCCCATTTCTGAAGCCCAAAATTTTTCCCTCATTTGGAGAAACCCTAAGTGACGCCCAGAGATGTCTTGAGCACTATAAATACATGTTTTAGGAACCCTAATTCGTATCATCTATCATTACCTCATATGTTCTTATTGTTTTAGAATACTTTTTAAGTTTTAGGTTTTAGGGAGAGAGAGATTTGTCTCTTGAACCCTTGTTCTTTCTTTTTTAATTTCGGTTTATATTCTACTTTTTTATACTATGTTTTTGATTTCGTTCATTATGTCTGAGTAGTTTTATTGTTGGGATTAAGGGATTTTCGATGGGGATTTATATGTTCGATGAGGATTCCATGTGCTTTTGAGCCGAATCTTAGAACTTTTTCTTCTGAATTCGTTTTTACTGCATGAGAGTAGCATCATGAATTACAATCTGATCCAGATGCTTGGTGACACGAAAGTGTTCATCCGGTGTCAGATCTAGTTTGGGAGAGCAAAACAAACATAGGAGTGGAAACCTACTTATGGGCGATTTGTGAATGCTGA